TAATTGTTTTGAAGAGATTGAGTAAAATCACAAGAAACTAAAGGCTGGGGAGTATGTCCGCCGTTCACCCAACCTCGGATCCGACACGATAGTCACGTGACTTCCGCAGGTAAATGGAGATGCACACCCACCATCTAAGCTCCCGGGTTGGTTTTTCGTTCGTCGGTCCGGTAGATTTTCGAGCTGAGACTGTGTGTAAATGAACAACGCCTAATCGATTCACAGGGTTTTCAGCAAAATGAATATTTTCCAATCAATCTAGGTGTTGTCGCGGCTCCTCGAATTTAATATGAATATTTTCATTTTGGGAGGGAGGTACTTCACGTCAAGTTCTTATACAATATAGTAAAACATTTTCACAACGCCCAGATTCTTTAAAATTTTTGGATTTTCAGAATTTAAAGACATGTATTTTTTCTAAATACGTTGGAGCATACAAATAATTGAACCACCCAGCGGCTGAACATTAAGCGAGCAGATCGCAGTACCTCATGTTCACTATTTCATATAACAGCTGGAGAAAATACATTGCGAGAAGGGTCGATTCGCGTAATCATTTGTGAATCAATGGTTTAAACCCCAAGTGAAGTAATACATAGCCAGGGTTCAAAACTAGCAATGGAGTCCAAGTGTGATAAATTTTCGCACTGGTTCAGCAAGTTCATTACAAAGTCTCTTTGACGGTTGTAGCACTCTGTACCACACTCACCTACCCTTGTAATAATAATGTATTTGCATAAATATAAAATGCTTTACTTGTCTTTGGAATTTTATTATCCATCCTTAAGAAAGTTTAAAAATATTTTTATCGAGCAGTTTTTTTCGAAAGTCAGGTCGACTGTCTTTAGTTAACAGGGCACTGAAACGATTGCGATCCTTCGAACCGCACGCGATCTCTGAAATGCGAGGTTCGCGTTTAAAATATAAGACACATTCAATTTTTCTTTACTCTATATTATTAATCTATAATTAAATAATGTGCAACAAACTTCACATTTTCTAACACATTATTAATGCGACTCTTTGCAACGATCAAATCACCAAGTCTTTCTTTTCGTAAACAAACGCTTATTAAACTAGCTACTTGGCTGTCCAGGAGAAATCGAGTTCTACGCACAGGTGCCAACGTTTCTGCCGCCATTCTGCGACCTTCCTTAAGGCCAAATGCGAGAGCTCGCTGAGAAGGACGTCGCGGAGTGTTGCCGAATGGCGGTCGAATCGTTGGCACCTTCGTCTAGCACGCGGCGACCCCAGGACAGCCAAGTGGCGAACACTTGTAAGACTGTTTCTACACGCACAATACCGAGCCTATTTATTAAACTTTTTATTAGTTATTTATGAGTTTGGGAGGGATAAATTCTACATTTAGCATTGATGAGAAGCTAACTGTGAGACCATTTCATCACTAGTTCAATTGAGCAAGTAAAACTGAAAAATAAATACTTGTTTAATACTTTCTAATTTGGATCAGGGTCTAATTCTTCCCACTCATCTGTCCTTCAGTTATTAAATTATGCTTCATGTTAATATATATGTCCAGTACGTTTTTTTCTTGCTACTGTGTTTTCCCATTGTTCATCTGTTCATTCATTCCGCTTACCACTTTTCTTAAGTCAAACAAGTGCCCACTTCGTCTCCCACTGCCATCTCTACCATACAAAATTATGCTCTACACGACTTTTTTTAAAGTATTTGCTTCTTTACACATTTATTCGATTGACGATGCACACTGTTGTAAACTGACTTCTCTCCAGCCAATCGATAAACAATTCAACGGTGTACGTGAATTCGAATCACCTCTACAGTACATTGTGGTGTGGCAGAACCTTGAATAAGTAAATGAAACCGTATTATAAGTCACTATTTGTGTTGACTTGAGTTTCTTAACTGTAGACATTTATGACAATTAGTAAAATATTGTTAAGTTAATTATTACTTCCACAATATTATTATTTCTGAAAGCATAATTATTTTAAATTTTCTGTAGCATTAAACTTCAATGGTGTGACTTGAGTTCACAGAAAACATTGAATGCATTACAGACGCGAAGCAACGTTTTTCGAACTCTCTTCGGGGTCATGAACAACGCTGCATTTCTGGTGGATAACTGCTCTTTGAAAAACATTTACTTTACGGCTTTTGCACGTTTGCACTATATTAAATTACATGCTTCTATAAATCTCCATAACGGCAGACGTTTGATTAGTTTGCTATGATACAATTGCTATCATGAACAGAGTATACCTTATATCAAAATTTATTGTACTTAAAAACGATTCGCTCTGTCTCTAGTGCAAAGCTGTTCCATTAAGAATAGAAATATTGAAAAGTGTTTTAAACAATGAACATCACAACCATGTGTGTTGAACTAAAACAATATTTGTTTCTATACACCTGCACTTAAAATGGAAATATTCTGGTTGACACTTCACGATTTTTCACTATGTCATATTATTTTTTTAATTCAGAATCTCAAAACCCATTTTACAACTTGCAAACACAGCGTTACTGTGTTGCAAAACATGTCGAAAGACACTTACGAGACGAGTAAACACTACAAAGATAAAAATATAATGCAAAAAGTTTCATAAAATATCCACTACATACAAATTACTTCAATGGATTCACGTTAAATCATACGTCAATGATATGTGTTTAACTTTCGTTATCACAAATATTTGATCTCAGTTCAAAAGATTTATACAATTATTATTACTCTGTTATATGTATGTTCTTTGAAATGAAATTGATTATTAATGAAATTAATGAAAACATGCCAATATTTAACTGGAACTGAGGCGAAGTTACTGTTTTGTGAAATCTAGAACATTATATATTTTCCTTGTCTTCGAACTGCTGATACTTTTATCCCAATCATAATTAACTGACCCAACATTTTAGGATAAATAAAAATAATTTTAATTTCAATATTTTTGTTTGAATTAAATCAAAAATTGTGTTCTGTGTGAAGATAAACTAACCAAACCAAAACCTGCCACAATAACTTATTATAAGCTAAAATGTAGATTACACTATAAGTATCAAAATAAAGATATTGAATAAATAATCAACTCACATTGCTTTGTGAAGAATCGTTAGCAACCCAGCCGCAAATTACTCCACAAGTTACAAAAGCTGATGGTGATTCACTGGCTGTAACTTCCTCGAAGTAATAGCACGTCTCCCGGCCGGGAGGCTTGTCTAGCTGCGTAGTGCACATATTTGCCGCATGATAGCAGCATTCTGCACTAGTTTTTAAAATAATGCCGTGGTTCAATTTAGACGCCGGTTCAACTAAACAACTCTCCCCTCGGGTTTTATATAATAAGATATCATGGCTTATAATTTTATTTTATTTATTAATGAATAAATTATATTATTATTAATGTTATTTGCGTATGGGCCATTTCTGACCACGCTACACGTCGTTTTTTGAGGCCCAGTCAAATCCCATCATGGAGAGAAAGATTAACGGGTGTAATTACAGGGATCAGCTTTTCGGCTGTATCCCTTCGTAAGACGAGGTTGTTAAGTCTTGAATTATGAATGGTGATAGGATGGTGATGAGAGGTGATGGGCGGCCCAGGGATGGAACTGGGCCCCCCGAATGCGAAGTCAGCGAGCGCTACGTACTGAGCCACTTCGCTCGTTTTATATATTATTATTATTATTATTATTATTATTATTATTATTATTATTATTATTATGAAAAAATAAATGCATATATTTGATAAAAATTAGCATCTTCTTACATGTCTCAATAAATAATGAATGTGTTGTCTGGCACTGCGAGATCCCTGTGTGTAGAGGAAAATCTGACGCGTGGTTGGAACACGCTGCCCTTTAATACGTCATTTAGGTGTCTTTCAGCCAAGGCCGGCATTTATCTTTAATTTTACTCATTAATGAAAATGCAAAAATATATAGAACCGAAACTTGAATATTCTTTCAAAGCAATGGAAAACTAGCAATAAGAGCAACCGATAAAATTCTCCTTCAGATATCGGTTGAACGCGACCTAGCTGAAATCATGCCACCGTTGATACTCGAATCCTAGGACCTCCCGTTCAGAGGGACTGTAGTGACATCAGTTGGTGACCTGAGCTTTCTCTACCGATTTGGACAGACAACGAGTGTGACGGGCTCAGAAGTGAGCGAGGGTAGGTTTACGGCTCGTCGGTAAGAAGCCGGGAAACTCCGGGGAGTTGGTTGTAGAGAAGGGAGCCAAGTAGTGCAGCCCCCCCCCCCCACCCGCGACGTGGTGTGGGGGAGTGGGAGATACAAGCAGCAAACACCAGAGGGAAAGTGCTGGCTAAATGAATTTTGACCTGACGAAAATTCAAAAATAGTGGTGTAAAAAATATAATTTTAAATAATAAAATTGATGATCCTTATCAATCATTCATATATTATAAAGATATAAATATCACTTAACCTCCAAATTCTTCTCTTCATTTACAATCTTGCATGAGCAATCTTCAAATCCCCGTATAAGGCAATCGAACCAAGCGAAGTGTCTCAGGTCGTCCTATTCGGGAGGCTCGGGTTCTATCTCCGTGCGGTCCATTCTAAACAGCGTTTTCGTGGTTTCTCTTGGTCGTCCAGGAAAATGCCATGATGGCTCCATTGAAAGGCCATGATCGCGAAACCGACGTCGCTAGCCGAATTCGTTAACTACTTGAAGTCATGAACGAGTAAACGAATTCGAGACATCACGGGTTCCTGGTTGGGTGACTAACTACGAACCCCGGGATCCAACGGCGCCGTGGCCAAATGCCCTTAACGAGACATACAAATACAAATAAGATAATCGAAGGCGAGGCGATGGCCGAAGTGACACAGGTGCTGGCAGGTGGCGTCTGGGGGTGGGGGCGGCGGTGACAGGGAAGTCTGCCGCGAGAGCGCGGACGCAGCGGCGGAGGCAGGGCGGGGGAGGCCGTTTCCAAAGAGCCCCCTTCGGCAGACGCGGGGGCGATGGTGGGGGCGGGGCAGCGAATCACACGCTGCAGTGGCTCGGGGGCGGCGGCGGCGGCGGCGGGTGGCGCGGAGCCTCCACAATGCGTCTCCGAAACAAAGGGCGAGCGGGCGCGACAGCTGCCGGCCGGCGCGCGCAACGCCACGCACGCCCTTCGCGCCCGACGAGCCCACGGGCGCGCCGGCGGCTGTCGAGGCAGGGGCACGCGACACGCGGATTCACGTGCTTCCTGTTGACGCAATTCTCGCATTCCAAAGTATGCAACACGAAATTACAACAACAACAACAACAACAACAATAATAATAATAATAATAATAATAATAATAATAATAATATAATAATAATAAAGGTGGTGATAATGGCGCCCGCACTGCCAGTTGCGACCGAGAAGATAAAAAGGTTGGGGAGAGCTAATCATAACACATAATAATAATCTCATATAAAAGAACTAAAGGTATCAACGGTTTTAAAAATAATTATAAAATTTATATTTTATTATTTTTGTATTATTTTAATTTTAATTGTAATTATTATAAATTAGTCAGCCCCAGGTTCGATTCCCGGTCGAGTCAAGATTATAGTGTGCCTTTTCCTTGCAAAGTTCCAGAGTATGTTGCAGTGTGACGATGAGAAAATTCACTTCTCAGGTTGAGAAGACCGGAATACGGCGTGGGGATGTCTACGTGCTAACCACACGTACCCCCTTAACCCATGGCCGCGAGGCAGCGACGTCGCCGGTAGCCTTGAGCCCGTTAAAGGGCTGTCACGCCAAGTACATACATACAAATATAAACAAGTATTCGTAAACAAGTCACGGAGCCTAATTGTATTACTCGATTTTCACTAATGGGAAAGATGAAATTTTGAAAAGCAAGGTAATTTATAATTTATTATTAGATGTTTTGAAATGTTGTGGATGAAAACAAATTATTATTATGAAATATATTTTTTTTTCTAGTCAGTGGAATATTGATTTTATTATACTGATCAGTCACCAAAACCTAAGCAGCTATCGACCTCCAAGTAACCCAATTTCTCATCACCGACACTTTTAAATTTCATCAACCCCCAAGAAGTAGTTTCACCCTACCGATTCTTTGGGGATTTTGTTCCCCACCTATCACATTCATTTCATTTAAACCATCTAACTTCTCTACACGTAACGTTTTGTTTCACACAACCAGCAGATAAAGAGAATGTAAGAACAAAACTATCAGATAAAGGGAAACTGACAGGTAGAGAGAATCTGTCCGAATGGACATCGAGAAAGAAATGGGTTTGCAGGCTAGCATGGCAGGCGTGCCAGCAGCTTGGGTTGAAGGTGAGAGCATTCAGGAATCAGATCAAACGAAACTGTGAGAATGATCCTATGTCCAACACTCCTTGCTTTCTGAACAGCGATTTTTTTGTAGATCTAGTAACTTCCACTGCAAGTGTTTCTTTTGCATTCATTAAAACACTAAAGGCGTCTGAAGATTTATTAAAACAAAAGTTAAAGTTTAATATTACAACCTCTAATAAAAATTTATTATAACATTAAATTTCTGTCACGAATTGTTTTTATTTACATATCTAAATATTGTGCTCTTTACTTGTGCATCTAATTAATTAATTTTATTCCTCCTAAGTCAGGATAATTTAGTCTTCTGATTGAAAATCTTAGTACAATACTATTTCTGGATCATGACACGAATTTTAATTTTATTGTGGAGTATTTTTTGCAGTCTCTCTCTCTCTCTCTCTCTCTCTCTCTCTCTCTCTCTCTCTCTCTCTCTCTCTCTCTCTATCTCTGTAGTAATTTATTCTTATTTAAACGTTAGAACTCATTTGTATATTGATTTGTAGAATTAGTTTATTGCATTGTTGTGCATGTTGTTCCTTTGATACCACGTCGGCACATTTCGTGTTTACAGTTTAACCTTTGCGTCAGATCCATTTATTAATTAAAATGCAAATTACTGCCCGCCCTCGCTCGTAATGCTGGAAGTATTAATATTAGTTGGGTTTGTTATGCATAAACTTGGCAACTTATCATCAATTTTGTTCTTTGTTGAATCTTCTAAATGATGAACAGAAAATTATGGAATATACACATACTCCAATTGTTGAGACATTTTCAGGTCCAAAAGAACTTATCTCAAAAGGAAAGTAAAACAAGAAGGAATCTATAATTAATTTTTGGTATCACGAATTACATAGCACAAACAAAAAATATCAAATTATTATAAAAATAAATGTCCAGATATAACTACAAAAATTTAGTTGGATTTCATTTTTATCATGAAAGCAGATAGGATATGTTATCAAAAAAATTAAACGATACTAATTGCAGAATGGCATATTCACATGTCTCATTGGATAGTAAAACTGTGTTCTTCTGTATGTGTTGTAAATGATTTTGGTACTTTGTTCAATTAAAATTTACTTGTCAAGTGTACACAAATAATTAATTCCTTTCAGCAGAATGTTTTCTTCGTTGAGTATAAAATTAATATTAAAGTGTTTTAAAATAGAAATTAAATGTTTATTGATTTTTCGAAAATTGAAAAATTTAATGATTTTTTCGACGGGTTCCTTCCTCTAGGGTTTTTTAATAAGGTTAAGGGTGTTTTTAAATAAAATCCGTAAAGTCCGAAAGATTAAAATAAGAATATTTGAATTTAAAAAAAAACAAGTTGCACATTTTTCGCGTAATTTCTGCTGGCAATTAATGTACATTGTAAGAATTCACATTTTCAAAATAACATCCAAATTTTTCCTTCATTGTTTTCCAGAGATAACACAAGGAGCGTTGAAAGAATGGCGTAGGTCTCATTTTCGTTCAACTGTTCGAATTTTTGAAAATTGCATGTTGGAAATAATGGGAGAGACAGACAATTAAGCGACGGCCCAAGTGAATATGGTACAACTAGTGCGTGGTGAAGCGGTACAGCGTACAGCGAGTAAACTCGATGGACCTGAATTCAAATCAACGAAAAAAACGTTTCCAGGTTAGAAAAACTTGCGGAAAATAATATTGCGGAGCCCTTACAAATAACGATAGAAAATATGTGCTGTTGTAACACCATTAATTCATTTGATCCTTATTATTTTTCTTGTTTAGACTGAATGATTCCTGCAATCTATTTTCGGTACTTCCAATCACGCTCAGTGTTTACTTAATAACAATATTTTCAAAATGAAAATATTTTCTTTATATTGTGAAGTTAGAAACATAAATCCAAGTAGATGTTGCAACTACTACTGAAACTACTACTGAACTACTACTATACTACTGAAAAAGACAACTCTAAGAAGCTGGCCGAGTCGTAGGAAAATGTCATATATAATAACTTTCCAGTAATTAATGAGATACCAATCCCAAACACAAAATTAACCTTTAATGTTTTTAAATCAGATCAAAAATTAACTTTAATTAATCAGATCCCAATCACAAAATTAATATTTTTGCATTACATTACATGTTCATATATATTTTTACACTTTACATGTTGTGTCAGTGAATAAATAGTGAATAGCTTCCCAAGAACATGGAATACAGCCAGGGAGAGAGCGGGAGGTTGGCGGAGAGTTCCACCGCGCGCCGCTGGAGTGCGTGGAGCACATGCGAGGGCGAGGGCGCGGGGCTCTTCACCTCTGACCTGTCGGCGGAGGGCCATCCGTCTCCCGCGCGGGCGGGGGCGGCGGGCGGCGGCGGCGGCGCTAGCCCTGGCGACGGCCGCGCGCCCAGAGATGTTATTTTTCCCCGCCCCCCCCTCCCCACCCTCCCTCACGCCGACCTCGCCCCACACGCCCGAACCGACGTCCTCAGCGCTAATGTGTCACGTTCGCGGTGAAATGGTCTTCCACTCAGATATTTTACCATTTCACATTTATAGTCGGTGCGCGGGGCGCGCTGCGGCGCCGTTCGCTGACCTGGCAGAAAACTGCTTGGGAACGACGTCACTTGTAGGTATCGGGAGCGGAGGCGCGCGGATTGGCGCCGGGTTTTATACGGCGCCAGAGGTAAGTGCGGGGGCGCAGCGGGCGGGGGGGGCGGGGAGGGGAGGGGAGGGGACGGCCGGAAGCCGCGACGAATTTAGCGGCCGCAGGTAGGGGCGTGGGTGGATCCGCGGACGCCGCTCGCCGCCCCATCGGCTGCGCCCGGAATTTGGCATCTCGCGGGCAACGAAAGTCTTTACATAGCCGTATTGATGCCACTAAAGCCGACTCGATGGAAGGGGAATTTTGATCGAACAAGAATCATGAGCAAAAGGATTAAAGGCGATGAGCCCGACAGGCGATAGAGTTAATAATCATTTAATATTACCTTGCATTAGAAGATAGATTTTCCGGGCTGGGAGGCCGTGGTCTAGTTGGCATTGTTGGGCCACCAATGCCAATTTTTGGCTCAACAATGCCAACTAGGCCACGGCCTACCAACCCGGAAAGTCGATCATCTATTGACTCCGGCCGTGAAAACCTACGATACTATATTTCCTTGCATTCTTTGACATGCTTCTTTCATGTTTTAGGAACCAATTCAAACCTTATTTATTAAAAAATATGTATTGCCCTCTGGTTCACGTAAAGTTTACACAATTGTAGAACTACTAAACCTCTGCAAATATTGAAGTGTATCTTTCCTTTCTTTAGAGATGATTCTCAAAAGTTTGCGTAATGTACTTTAAACTTATCCTGATATTTAAGAAATTGAAAAAAAGAACAAACCCAACTTTTTTTTCAATTTTACTCAATTTATTCCAAACGATTACCACAGATTGATAGCATCACATTGCAAAGGGGTATTCCAATTTAGACCAAGCGTACGTAATTTCAAGAAGACATTCATAATTTAAAAAGTATATTTTTAATGGAACGAATTTTTGAGGAGGGAGAAGTCCCTGCTGAAATTGCCCTCTCCTCCCCTGCAATCATTTTTTATCTCTGGGTGTGGATAAAATTAAACTTTGCTTTGGGTCTTTAACTAAGATGTGTTCTTAAGATTTGACCAGAATTCTCAATTGCAAAATATCAGTTTCTCATACATTGATTGGTCTTATGTGTAAATAGTCACTTTGTCAGTTTTTAATTCACGCAAACTGGAAATAATTTAATACATCACATAAAAGTGTACTAATCAAGAAACGAAAATAATTAGAAAGATAATGTGAAACGTGTACCACCTTTTCCACAAAACGATTCCGACGTAAAATGGTATCGACTTGAAAATAAATAGTTCTTTGGGTCTTATATCATTTTACCTGTGA